TGGGTTTGTAGGTTTTATACGTGGTAGAGTCATGCATTAGTAGTATAGTTGTAGCACGAATGGGTCGGCTCGACCGGGGAAGGACCACGCTATCACAGAATACCAGCGTAAAGTAGCAGCTTAATGCTGCTGTGTTTCGTATGGTGAGTGCAGAGAACCGGAGACCTATTTATTTTACTGGAAAAGAGGCATTCTGTCTTAGTCCTCACGGGTGACGACGCATCTGCATTTTAATTCGCAAACGAAGATAGATGTAGATGTCTATGGGCCACAGCAACCACTTAGATACCATCAGGTGGACTGTGTGCTCGTTTGTCACCCTTATCCTATAAAAAAATAGGCCAGTGCACCCACTTACCATCAAGATCACTGTGTGCTCGTTTGTCACCCCTTTCCCTATATATAAAAATCAATTGCTGTTTGTTAGTCTTACTAAAACCACAGAATAAATAACTAAAACTAAAAAACGGCAATTTTGATGAATTTTTTTGTGTGCATTTGAATTTGTCCCTAGATGGTTTAGACTCACAATTGTACCTGGTAGGTGGCGCTGTTGTCGAGATCCAGAAATCACCCGTGCGAAGCCGGGGCGAATCGCTAGTTCTTAATAAAAAAAAACTTCGACATTCAGTTTCCGCATTTTTAGTTGAATGGAGATCAGGACAAGAATAATATAAAATTTTTAATTTTTAATTATTACTAAATATATTTTATCTGTATAAAATATATTTAGTAATAATTAAAAATTAAAAATTTTGTGCAGCCGACTTCAATATAAGTTATTAAGAATAAGTCAATAACTATTGGTCTGACCTTGATCAAATTGGATCAGTTGGATATGGGACAGAGAAAAGTATTGAGGTAACACACATAAAAAAACATACAGTCGAATTAAGTACCACCTCCTTTATGAAGTCGGTAGATTATATAAGCGATACGCATTTTTTATAGAACACAAGCTATGGTAAGCGAATGCTGTGGTCCATAGACATGTACATTTATGCTCCATCAAAATGCAAATGCGTTGTAACCCCCCTCGTTTCCAGTAAAAACGATCTCCGGTTCTCTACACTCACTATGCAATGATCGTGATGTGACTATTCTTTTAAAAATACTACTAGGTCATAGTTTTTTTTTTTAACACGTCTGCAAAGTTTTATTTTAGATTATTTAGATATCCGGTGGTGTATGAAATATGAATTGTGTAAATCCCATTACATTCATACATACAGGCCAAGCTAATGGAAGCGTGTTAAAAATGGAGAACACGTGCCGTCTGCCAATGACGGCATCCACGACTTTTTTGCCACCACAGGACAGCGTCACTTTGAATGAATTGAAATATTTGACTGACTTTATAGCGGAGGAAGTTGTTTTGTTGGAAAAGTATAGAGATTTTTTTTTTATAGTATAGGGTGACAAACGAGCACACAGTCCACCTGATGGTAAGTGATCGCTGTGGCCCATAAACATCTACATTTATCCTCGTTTGCGAATCAAAATGCAGATGCGTTGTCACCCGTGAGGACCAAGATGGAATGCCTCTTTTCCAGTAAAAAGGGTCTCCGGTTCTCTACACTCATCATACGAAACACAGCAGTGTTAAGCTGCCATTTAACGCTGGTATTCTGTGAGAGCGTGGTCCTTCCCCGGTCGAGCCGACCCATTCGTGCTACAACTATGCTACTAATATAGCTGCAGCATGGCTCTACCACGTATAGAAATTAATGATTCTTTCTGAAATGTTGGTTGGTCTGAAAAGTAGGAGAAATAAAAAAGGTAAAAATATGTAAAAAAAATGGACGAATACAGCACTGAGGTAATGTTTAATGTATATATGTATACACTACAAACCGAAAAACTTTTATTTAAAACGCAACTTGACAATCCAACATCTATAAGTCTTACGCTCACCAGATGTCACTACACTGATTACATTATAAAAGACTAGGTGATACCCCTTAGCTTTGCTGAGCGCACGACAATACCACCAGGAAACAAGGCATTCCATCTTAGGCCTCGCGGGTGACAACGCATTTGAATTTTGATTCGCAGTCGAAAACAGATATACACGTCTTTGGGCTACAGTAACTACTTACCATCAGGTGGACTGTGTGCTCGTTCGACACTATTATTCGATAAAAAAAATTCGTGTTGTTTATTTTTATTATCTCAAGCGCTAAAATAAATCACATTCCCGTATTAGTGTATCCTCACCCTTACATTACTTAATAATCCGTAGCTCAGTCAAAAGTGCCGGTTAAGCTGGCAATAACTGATATACTATGATGCATGTGTGCAGAGATTATTTTTGATTACGTGTGACATCGTTTCAAAGTTTAACATTACAACTTTTTCAAGCCGTAATTACGAATTATGTATTTATGTGGGCTCATGGGGAGCAGTGCGTGTTGTCAGTGACGGCTTATTTTTTTATAGGATAGGGTGACAAACGTCCACCTGATGGTGAGTGGTTGCTGTTACCTATAGACATCCACATCTATCCTCATTAAAGAATCAAAATGCAGATGCGTTGTCATCCGTGAGGACTAAGATTTAATGCCTCTTTTCCAATAAAAAGGGTCACCGGTTCTCTACAATCATCATACGAAACACAGCAGTATTAAGCTGCTATTTTAGGCTGGTATTCTCTGCGATCGTGGTACTTCCCTGGTCGAGCCGACCCATTTGTGCTACAGCTATACTACTAATATAGCTGCAGCATGGCTCTACCACGTGCAAATGAATCATAGACGTGGTCCTTCACTGCTGACTGTATGAGGAAGCTCAAGCTCGATCAGCGATTTATAGAGAGATGGCTATGATCGAGATTTCACCGCGTGATATAGACTTGAAATGAGGATATCCGCAGTAGAACCAAAGTAACCGACATAGCCCAACGGTTTAGTAAGCTATAGTGGCAATGGGCGGTGCAAATTGCGTTTGCACCGCTAGACTAACGAGACAGTCATATGAAACACGGTAGTGTTAAGCTGCTATTTTACGCTGATATTCTGTGAGAGCGTGGGTTCTTTCCCGGTCGAGCCCACACATTCATGTTACAACCATAATATAGCTCTATCATGTAAAAATATAGCACACGTACAAAATAGAGCAGTATTCAATAAATAAATAAATATTAAGTTAAGTCAATGTATGTTACATTAATGAATTCATTAAAAAACATGAATTTGTAACCTCAAACGTAAGAAGTTGTAAATTATATTATCTTTATAAAACATTCACTGCATGAAAAGCCGGTTAAAAATTGTCCTAGATATTATTTTATAGTACACGAGCAACCTAATTTGGTCATTGTCGGCACCATAGAATACTCGTAAAACTAATATTCTATGATAGGCACTAATACAATTTTATTAACAGTTTTATATGACAATTTTCCACGTTTTTCAATAAAGTTATCCGCTGTGCCAGAGCATTAATATCAATGCTTTTTGTATATAACATCATTAACCAATTTGTCTGTAAAATTAAAAATATTAAACGACAAATTAAAGGGTACGAACATTTAAGGTGTCCTCACCTGCGTCAAAATATTCCAACGGGGAATACTCCATTATCACTCCAGATGAGAAGTTTCAAGAACTCTGTTGGGTAGGGAAAAGTTAATTTGAAAAAATACGAGTAATCAATAGAATCAGGCGTTACTTTGCGAAAATCCATTATATTAAAGTTGGTAAAAAATTACCTTGCATCCGCTCGATAAAATAAAATGATGTGTCTTACCTAGTACGAAGAGCACCTCCCGCCCTCCCTCAATCGCGTGCACTATCCCCGTTACCACTAATCCCAGCATTGGGATTGGGAGTAGTGGTGGGCTGAGCTTCTTGCTAGTTCTTCCCAAGACAGAGATTTTATATATATCGAATAAATTTTCTTTATAATCTATACCGAATAAGTTTGATTTATAAAAAAAAATATAGAATACGCGCGACAAACGAGCACACAATCCACCGGATAGTAAGTGGATGCTTTGGCCCGTAGACATCTACATCTATCCTCGATTGAAACTCAAAATGCAGATGCGTTGTCTCCCTTGAGGACTGAAATGGAATGCCTCTGTGAGAGCGTGGTCCTTTCCCGGTCGAGACGACCCAGTATTACAACTATACTAGCAGGTATAGTTGTAGTACTGGATCGCCTTGCTGCAGCTATAACGTTTAGCATACATAATAGCTGCAGCAAGGCTCTGTCACATAAGATCTACTAATTTTTTACTTTTTATCATCGTGAAATCTGTTAACACTCACTACTGCCGGTCCCACGGTATCATAATTTGGTTGCAGGGTTGTTGATATACAGCCATTTTCAACTAGTTAAAATAATGCACCAAAAGAAGAAAAGGGAGTAACCACTGGTTCTGGTTGATTCTTAACTTTTTCTTTTTCTCTTTTATTAAAAAACTTAACCTACACACTAATATTTTCTCCTGTATCGTGGCGGCAGTTTACATGCATAAATTTCACAAGGACAAACATCAAGACCCGTAACAATTATTTGTAGGCCATTCAAATACTTGTTCCGTGCGGGATTCGAACCCGCGGCCCTTAGCGCTGCAGCACATTGCTAAACTACTGCGCCATGGAGCAGTCGAATCTCGCTTAATTCGCCAGCACATAGTGCAGTTTAAGTTTGTAGCTTTTTGGAAGGAAGTTCCTTATCGGACGGTATGAATTTGGCGGATGGGGGCTAGGTGAGAAAAAGTGTAAGATTTTTCCGTCACGACCCGTTTTTGGTAGGAAGCGAGATTGAATAATATTCATCTCCCTCGCATTTCTTCTTATCTTGCCGTGAAATAAATATTGTTTTAAATGACGCTTCATTTTACAGACGCCAGTAATTCATTTATTTGTATTTGTTAATCAATAATATCATACGTTTATCAATAATATATACTACGTAAGGAATTTCGTTTAAACCGAGTGGTCCACGACACGCACGCATGTTTTTTTTTTGTTATGAAGACTTTTTGGGTACAGGTATGCGCACTAGCGAAGCAGCTGGACATGACGGAACGGCAGGTGGAGCGCTGGTGGAGGCTCCGGCGGTCTCAGGACAAACCCTCGACTCTAGTCAAGTTCTGCGAGAACGCCTGGCGATGTTTCTTCTACTTGTACAACTTCTCATACGGCCTGTTCGTAATGTGGGACAAGGAGTGGTTGTGGGACATCGACCAGTGTTATATTGGATATCCTCATCAGGTGAGTAATGTTCTTTGCAATATTTTCCTCTGACTGAAAAAAATCGCGGTGTGTCTGCGTCGTGGACACGGCCGTGTGTTGTACGTGAACACGTGTACGTAACGAAACGACCACAAAATGGCGGCGTTCCCCTCTCCGCCGCGCGCGTTGCTTTACAGTCCTCGCTCAACGTGACGAATTCTTTGATCCTTTAGCCATCGAGTGGTGTAATTAAATTTTGGATGTAGATGATAGTTATGTATCTGCATCACCAAACTATCCCCCGATTGTGTTATCGTCAGTTTCCTGGATTACCTCCAACTATGGAAGCAATAAAGACGCATTCGCGTCAAAAGTATTGGAGGATTGTGAGTTTAAGTATAGATTTGTTACCTCACGAGTGCGGGCGAGCCTCACTCTGTTACTCCTCCATAGTTTGCCTCATAGGAAGAATTTTGTCAATGTTTGCCACGCTTGGCAGGCGAGTTGGCAACCTTGATTTTCCAAACCATGGGAGTGGCATATGTATTTTACATTGCTAGATGGACTCCTTTTTCTACCTGACAGTCCGTCTGAATAGGTACCAACCCTTTACCTACCTCTTATCTTCTACCATCAAATAGCAGTGCTTGCACTGTTGTGTTCCGCACTGAAGGGTGTAGAGAGCCAGCATAATTACAGGCTGTGAGGCGGTAGAAAAGAGAAGACTCTACCGTCAAAAAATTGTCGTGTCTACCTCTGAGGCCTGCCTAAATTGCCTGCCTTATTATCAAAGAAGGTTCCACTGTTTTTATTAGTGACCTTGGTCGTGTCAACTGGCCAAGTGTCAACTTTTGTGGTCAATTATGGAAATTAATGTCGGATTAGTGTGTGTTACTTTCATCACTTATTACCTGCTTATATATATTTTTATAGCTATTTCAGTTGAGAAAGGGAACTGGGGTCAATTTATAACGTACTTGGCTTTTTCTACTTTATTTTCCACAATAAATCAACCATCAACGTTAAAAAAGGTTTCCCAACCTTTTTAAATGTCGGACACTTATGAGATTTTACTAAGATCGCCACAGACCTATTAATAATACAATGTTGTAACACAAACCCGCATACACACGCGCGCACACACACGCACTAGTATTTCCTGGGTCGTGGGAGGCATGGACACACACATATTAATTCATCATAAACATCCAAACCTCAAGTCAAGTTCTTGACTACTACTACCTCTATTAATGCTATCATGATTTCTTTTATTTTTATTTTATTCGCGAATCACTTAGGATCGGTACGCAAAATCCAAAGGGGCCGCGGACCTCAGGTTAGGAAACCCTGATCATGCAATTCATTCAAAATACATTTTGGATATGATGTTTAACTACCAAATAATATCTATAAAGTGTATTCCAGGGGGTGACAAACGACGTGTGGTGGTATTACATGATCTCATCGGCGTTCTACTGGTCGCTCACCATATCCCAGTTCTGGGACGTGCGGCGGAAGGACTTCTGGCAGATGTTCGTGCATCACTTGGCAACCATAGCGCTCCTGTCCTTTAGCTGGGTTTGCAACCTCCACAGGATCGGCACGCTCGTGTTGCTGGTGCACGACAGTGCTGACATACTTCTGGACGTGAGTATCAGCTAATCTATCTAATATATATTACAATTTGTTTGTTTGTATTTTATGCGCTGCCATACCGTTCATCAGATTACGCTAATAAGCTTTGTCAATTTATTACTTGCACTTGCCCGTAGGTTATAGGCATAGTACAGTTAACTTACAATAGGTGGCGCGCATATAGTACTGACAAAATTATTAGAAAGTTTTACATCACTTAACTACAATTAATGTACATGTTCAAACAATATAACTCTTCCAAATTCGAAACGATGTGTCATCATCATCATTACAGCCCTTTACGAGTCCACTGCTGAACATAGGCTTCCCCCAAGGAATGCCACGAAGCACCTTAAAACGTCCCCGGGTGAGGATGGAATTACAGCAGAGCTTCTGTAAGCGGGTGGGAAAACCGGTACTTGAAGTCCTTCACAAGCTTTTTCATTCCGTCCTCCGTGGTGGGAGCAGAAGTGATGTAGTCTTGTGCTTCAAGAAAGGCGACAACGCTCACTTGAAGAACTACAGACCAATTTCCCTTCTGAGCCGCGTCTACGTGCTGTTTTCGAGAGTCATTACGAATCGTCTCGCACGCAGACTTGACGACTTCCAGCCTCCCGAACAAGCCGGTTTCGGAAAAGACTAGTACCATAGACCACATACATACCCTTCGGCAAATTGTACAGAAGACCGAGGAGTACAATCTGCCACTTTGCATTGCGTATGTGGACTATGAGAAAGCCTTTGATTCCGTCGCAATTTCGGCTGTGCTGCAGTCCCTTCGGCGGTGCCAAATTGACTGTCGGAATATCGAAGTGCTGAAGTGCATGGTAGGGCTACGATGGCTATCCGTGTACAGAAGAAATTTCAGTTAATTTGAAGGTTTCACTTTTACCGCGTGTGAACTGTACACGTGTTTTTGTTTATTATTAAGGTAGTTTTAGCCTGTAGTGGCGATGTAAGAATATTCACTATTCAATACTATCCCGTGGGTGTCTTAAAAGACGACAGAGGGAAACTGAAACAGAAAATGGTCAGCAGCGTTTTTTTTTATAAACGGGTCACAAACGAGCACACAATCCACCTGATGGTAGGTGGACGCTGTGGCCCATAGAAATTTAATTAAATGGTGTACCCCTAGAAAGGCTTGAACAGTTTAAATAGCTGGGGCATTTACTCACCGTCGACCTGAATGTAAGATCACGCTGATATGGATGGGCAGCGGAGAGCGCTGTCTGTCGGAGCTAACATGATTGCTCTAGGCTTGGGCTGTGTTCAAAGGAGGTTAAGGTTACGCTCTTTCGAGCGTTCTGTACGTCGCTCTACTCGTGCAACTTAGGGGCTAATTACAATGGGAAGAGTAACAGCGTCCTCCGCGTCCAATACAATAATGCGTTTAGAACGATGATGGGGCTGCCTCGATTTTGTACCTCCATGTCACCATGCGCAAGCGGGCCGTGTGCCTGGTGAGCAGAGTGCGGGCCAGCGCGAAAACTGTCCTGACGATGATCGCGGAATGGTTAGGCTGCTAAATCGTCCGGCATTGCTGCGACAGCCATATTATGACATATCACAGTACAGTTGCCTCATAGAAAGTTTTAATTGATCTCGTCTCCTGACCTATAAAATTGTGTAATTCTGTTATTTATGCCTCGTTTCCAGTAAAAAGGGTCTCCGGTTCTCTACACTGACCATACGAAACTATTTTAAGCTGGTATTCTGATTGAGCGTGGTCCTACCCCGGTTGAGCGGACCCATTTGTGCTACAACTATAATATAGCTGCAGCGTGCCTCTACCATGTATAATTTCTTGATAATAATATTATTTTATTTTAAAATAATATAATTTTCCTGATATATGTAAAAATAATAAAACACTGTTGTTTCCAACCCGCGTTCCATATAAAAGGCAATCTATGAATGATGGACGGATGGAAGTTAGTTTTGTTATGTTTCTTTACATAATCAGTAATTCATTAATGGGGCAACGTATACGCTATTACAACAAGGTCCTAGAAAATATACAAGGTCTCCCGATTCTATTACCAAGTTTAAATACTTTATGAAAAAAAAAATTGTGTAAAACGGTTATTATAATATAAATGAATACAGGAGGTGGTCGCTTCAAACTGTTTCTAAAATAAATTTTGTAAATAATTTGTGCAACCTTTCGTGTTGTATAAATAACTTTGAAAAAAAGTCTTGCTGGGTTTCTCGTTGGTTCCTAGCAGGAAATAAGTTTTTTTCCGAACAAGTAGTTTATATTCAATAAATAACGGGCAAAGTACGAGTCAGACATAAAGTATTCCGTACCATCGTAATACACGTTTCTAGTCGGGAAGCCCCTTTTAATTTTTTATATTTTAATTTTTATTATTTTTTTTATTTATAGAAGAGGGGGCAAACGAGCATGCGGCTCACCTGATGGTAAGCGGTTACCGCCGCCCATGAACAACTGCAACACCAGGGGAATTGCAGATGCGTTGCCGGCCTTTTAAAAAGGAGTAGGCCCTTTTCTTGAAGGGCCCTAAGTCGTATCGGTCCGGAAAAATCGCTGGTGGTAATCGATTCCACAAGGAAGTTGTGCGAGGAAGAAAACATCTTCTAAATCGCACAGTGGTGGACCGCCAATCATCCAGGTGGTATGGATAGTATCGCAAGTTTTGTTGTTACAGCGCCAACAGAAATACACATTCTGTGAAAATTTCAACTGTCTGCCTATTACGGATCATGAGATACAGTCACGCTGACAGACATACAGACGGACAGCGGAGGTTTAGTAATAGGGTCCCGTTGGAGATACCCTTTGGGTACGGTACCCTAAGAATAACTCTATTCTATTCTATAATTCCTATTTTGTTTCAGGCTGCGAAGGCGGCGAAGTACGCTAACTACCAGAAGCTGTGCGATGGTATGTTTGCGATATTCACAGTGCTCTGGATTGTTACGAGGCTGGGAATATACCCATTTTACATAATCTGGAGGTGAGTGGTTTTTTGTTAACGAGTTCAGAGTCACTGTTTTCGTCCAATGATATTTATATATAAAAAAAAGTTTTACGTGATAGAGCCACGCTGCAGCTATATTATATTAGCAACACGAATGGGTCGGCTCGATCGATGTACAACCACGCTCTCACAGAATACCAGCGTAAAATAGCAGTTTAATGCTGCTGTGTTTCGTATGGTGAATGTAGACAAGCGGAGACCGTTTTTACTGGAAACGAAGCATTTCATCTTAGTCCTCACGGGTGACATTGCACCTGCATTTTGATTCTCAATTGAGGATAAATGTAGATATCTATGGGCCACAGCATGCACTTATCATCAGGTGGACTGTGGCTCGTCTGTCACCCTTCTTATCTTTTCTTATCAACCCATAACGTCCCACTGCTGGGCAAAGGTCTCCCCAACCACGTTCCACCTTTCACGGTTCTGTGCTATGGAGAACCAGTCTTCCATGAAGGAGTCCAGTTCATCTCGCCATCATTTTCTGGGTCTGCCTCGGGGTGGTCTGCCATATAAAGGAGTCCACCGAGTTGTAATTTTGGCCCAAAGTTCTTCTGACATACGGCACACATGACCGGTCCAGTCACATTTTAGTTTGGCGAATTTACGGGAGACGTTAGTGATTTGGGTTTTGGAGCGCAGAGTGGTATTTCTGATGCGTCTGACTTCTAGCATGCTGCGCTCCATTGCTCGCTGACACACTCCGAGATCGGACCTCTGCTTTTTGGTGAGAGACCAGGTTTGGGCACCATATGTCCCCCAACCTCATGATGCTTGTCACCATAATCTATAAAATAAATAATTAAAAAATATAAAAGAGGTAGACTATATGTTCCTAGCACGCCAAAACTGAAGCGTCGGAAGGTGGTCAATTAGCCACTCTGGCCCTTTGTAACAAATGTGACGCCATGATTACGTAAGCTTAAAGAAAAAGACAACTGTTCCAGAACTGTTCACGTGGTAGAGCCATACTACAGCTATATTAGTAGTATAGTTGTAGCACGAATGGGTGGGCTCGACCGGGGAAGGACCACGCTCTCACAGAATACCAGCGTAAAATAGCAGCTTAACGCTGCTGTGTTTCGTATGGTGAGTGTAGAGAACCGGAGATCCGGAGTTCTGTGAGAGCGTGGTACTTTCCTGTTTGAGCCGACCCATTCGTGCTACAACCATGATATAGCCGCAGCGTGGATCTACCACATATAAAATATGATAAAAATGTTTTGTTCCAGTACAACGATCCGTGCTCCAATGCTGGTGCCGATGTTCCCCGCGTACTTCATCTTCAACTCACTGCTGTGTCTACTGCTGTGCCTGCACATTCTGTGGACGTGGCTCATCCTGCAGGTCGCTTACAAGGCCATCACTGCTGGACGGGTCAGTTGTTTGTCTATACACAGTATAAAACAAAGTTGCTTCACGTCGTCTGTACGCGTAGATCTTTTCAACCAACCTCAAAAATCAGGAGAGGTTTACAATTCGTCGGATATTTTTTTATGTATTTACACCAAATGGTCGAAGACGTCTGTTTTGGAACCAATTTGGAAAATTCCTTTTTTGTTTCAAAGGATATACTTCCCAAGTGGTCCAATTTAAATTTTATCGAAATCGGTCGAGGGGTTTAAAAAAAATAATAATAAATTATATTTATATTGAAGTCGGTTGTACAAAATTTTTAATTTTACCATTTGTAAACAGACAGAATGATTCAAGAGGAAAATTTATATGTATAATACATGAACATTATATATTATATAATATATAATTCTTCTGTCCGTATGTATGTGACTGAACTCTTAAACGGCTGGTCCGATTTTGATGTAGTTGTGTGTGTGTGATTAAGTTGATTAGAGAATGGTTTAGATTCACAATGGGACCCGGTAGGTGGCATTTAGAATAGAATAATTTTTATTAAATATACATTATTACATAAAACTTATTGAAAGTAATTTTTTTTATTTACTACTGGTTCGGAAAATACCTGACAAGAAGTTTTTCTGTAAAGAAATTCTCAGTAGCTGCCCGGAGTCAGGCAGTTGGCGGTGTCTCACCCCCGTGCCTCGGAAAGCACGTGAAGCCGTTGGTCCTACGCTTAATCTCTCTCCGCTCGTGTCGGTTTACCGTCCCATCGGACTATGAGAGTGAGGGAACAGAGAGTGCACCTGTGCTTGCGTATACACTTGGGCACTATAATCCTGTCCTGCGCAGATGGCTGGTGTCCGTTGAGACAGAAATTCGGTCTGGAGGATATTATTATTATTATACTATATTACAGTGATCATGATGCGACGTGAATCAGTCTTCTTGATTTTAGTGCCTTATAGCACGTAGACGTTCGCAATAAATTTTGATATAGGGTCACAGATATGACACCTGACAACATATAAGGTTGTTGCATGCCCCAAAAACTTAGTTATTATACTTACCTAGATTGAGTCCTCCTTCCCCCCTCCCCCCTCCTATTTAATCATAAATATAGTTTTTTAAACAAAGAAAAAAAAATAACCAGTGTAGACTACTAACATCATGGTAGGAGGGACCATTTGACCATCTTCACTAAGTATTCAGAAATATAATATAGCAGTTTAATGCTAGTCTATGGGCCACAGTATCCACTTACCTGGACTGTGTCCTCGTTTGTCACCTTTATATTATAAAAAAATAAGTAAAAGAAAATAAAATTATGATTACTTATTGAAACTTTTTTTTTTCAAATTAGCTAATTTTTGCTTTCAGTTGGATGGCGATATAAGAAGTTCGAGTTCGGAGATCAGCGACAGTTCGCATCACTCCAATCACAGCACTCCCAACCGCGTTAATCATAAAAAGTAAGATTTCATATATACATACTTCTTTAAGTCTGCGTCTGCATTAGAACTAGAGTAACTAATATAGTCCAATGGATCAGGAAGATGAAGTGGCATACTGAAGGTCTACCGGCTCGACGGTTGAAGGACCACGCTCTCACAGAATACCAACGTAAAATAACAATTAATGCTACTGTGTTTCTTATGGTGAGTGTAAAGTACCGGAGACCTTTTTTACTGGATATAAGGCATTCCATCTTAGTCCTCAGGGGTGATAACGCAACTGCATTTTGCTTCTTAATCGAGGATCAAATGTAGATGTCTATGGGCCACAGCTTCCAGTTACCAGCAGATGGACTGTGTGCTCGTTCATCATCCTTTTCCTATAACAAAAAGCACCCGCCAGCACAACCAAGAATTTCGTTTAATAATCCTGTCCAATCAATGTGTGGCTGTAAGAAATCCCTTTTAGCGATGTCTATGGGCCACACCATCCGCTTACTATCACGTGGACTTAGGCCCGTTTTAATAAACGTTATTCAGCTCAAGTACACACACTTGAGTACAATCTTGAGGTTATTATCTTATTAATAAACATATCTCAAGATACGGTTTAGGTTTACGATATCAGCTTAGTGTCACACTGATTTATAAACGAAACTCGACTCTCAAGTGTCTGTACTTGAGTGCAAGTCACAGAACAGTATTCCTAAGTACAGCGTTTTGAGATACAGTTTTTATGTGTTTATTAATTAGCAACGATCTTGAGATGCTGATATCGTAATGAGGGTGTGAATGATTACGCACTTGAGTTCGTCGTTGACTAATGTTTATTAATACGGGCCTTATTATTTTTTAAAAAATCGGAGGAAGGCGGAAGGTTCTTTTCGAACTACGTAAGACACATTAATATTATTATTAGTATTGTTCTCGGATTTTAGCTAAATAATTTTAACATCTTTAATAAGGTTTTTCTGTCAAATGTGCGCAGATTTTGCATAATTTAATTCCTCCCTCTCCCGTCCACCATCGGACAACCAGACGTTCGGCCAGTCTCCACCCTCTCGTTGTTGACTTACCACGCATTCGAACCAAACGGTTCGCCACGTCATTCATCATGCGTCTGCAAAGGAGTGGAATATGTTGCCAGCATCTGTCTTGCCATCCGATTACAGTGTGTGTTTCTTCAATGCAAGAGTGAATAGGCTTTTGTTAAGTCAGTGCGCTTCACCATCTTAGGCTACATTACCGCTTACCATCAGGTGGGATCGTTGATAAGCGCTGGCTTAGTAGGATATAAAAAAAATATTTGAATTCCATCAAGAGAACAAAAGCGAATGTAAAATATTTGTTTCTTTTTCAGAGAAATATAGGGACTGGTGACTTCATCATGGGCTTCGTTACATGTGGCGGAAGACATAATTCTTGCATCTATCTACAAGCCGTTCGTAGCTCATCTACATATTACTAACACCAAACCTCTTTATATACAGGCATACGTAACACGAACTTTATGTATATAATTATGTTACTTTACTATATAATGTGCAAGCTCTCAGTGGCGTGGATGAAACAGAGCTTAGGTTGTTAAATATTCACTATATATTTTTATTATGGCAAATATTTCTTGAAATATTTTCAATTGTGGCAACTTTTTTGCTTTCAAGTTAAACAAAACAACTGTTTTTTTATTCTCTTTCATAATTTACATAGTTTATTTGGGTGTATTAATAATTGGTGTATCTTTATTTATTAGGTCAAATTATAATCACTTGAACTGTTTATGTTATTTGTTTTATGAAAAAAAAAAATAACAAAAAGCATTTACATGATATGTGAAAAATCAATAGTGATACATTAGAGACAACAATAAATCTTAATTACGTCCATCCTCACAAAAAAATGACAATAAAATGGTGACTCTGTGTCTAAACCTTAAGAAAGAGTCAAATATATATAATACCTAGAAGAAGAGAAAGAGATAGCAGCACAAAACATATCTCTTAAATGTCATGTCTGCCAAACACAATTTCTGATTACTTTATTTATTCTTTTCAGCCTACTATTTGTAGTTTTGTAATTAAAATAAAATAAAAAAAAAAATTTAATATTATTCAAATCACAAAGAGTCTATTTGAATAATATTAAAATTTTTAAATGACGACCATGCTTAAATTAAAATAATAATTATGTTGCAGAATTTTTAAAAGTTGTGTTAGATAAAATTACTCCAAGTATAAGTAGTGGCACGAAAGTCTAGCGGTGACCGTAATTGCGCGTAAGTTGCGCTGATTGACACGTACGTACCGCTCGCACGCGCTGATTAGCTCTCCAGTCGCATTCGTGCAATTCAATTCGTGAGCAAATTTCGAGCAAATATGTACTTATATACATTTTTAGAATTATTTTAACACTTTTTTTTATTCTTTGAATTACGTGATAACCTCAGACCATTAAAAAAGATAGAGGAGTTTTGACGGGAACATGACCGCCGTTGGATTGTTACTCCTGTATTATTCTTGAACAAATATTTGATTGATTAGTGGGTTTTGATACGTAAATGTGGTGCTATTTTGTGTATTGAGTGCATGTGAATTATTAGTAAGAACGAAGTGCTTCTAATGTTGATATACTCAAGTTAATTTGCCCGTTCTTTTTGTGATTTGTATAAACAATTGTACTAGTTTCATAAAATTTTATCCAAATCACAAAAAAGAAGCTAATGTTGTAATAAGTGACTAGTGTAAATTATGTTAATTTGTCCGCTTAGTCACCTTATTAACCTGAGAAACTGTCGTCATCGACTGTCTGCTAGCTTAAGCTAATATCTCCCAAAAACTCCAATGTGATGCATCAACAAATAGTGGTAAAGTTTTGAACAAATTATAAAAGCTAATTATTAGTATTATTAGTTTACACTGGCAAAAATACAACCTTACGAGTCCATTACCTAAATGAAAAAAACTGCGTATCTTTGATGGTCTGAGGATATAATAAAAAATTTCGTCGAATGCCTTTATCGATTAAAGTTTAAAAAGAGTCAATCCTATTAGTTAAGTGTTCTCTTTTACGTGTTAAATATTTTGCCGCAATTATTTCAGTATTAAAAATTTGCAACTAGGCAACGACTGACTTACACCGGCCAGTCATATGTTCTTCCCAAAGATTAACCATTTGGCCCTTTATTTATAGTATATATATTTAAGAATTTGCTTAATTTCTTATGGCACGAGATTATGAGGTTATTTTATTTTCTTAATATTACCAATAAAATATTTTTTATATGTTATGTATCATATAAACTATAACATTTTTTTTTGTTTTAAAATGTGGCCTAATAGAGGTTAGCTATATATGCTTATAGATTGTTTGTGTATTTCAGACACTGTCTACATTTAGAAATTTAAGTTCCTTTATATTAAAAAAAAAATGCGGCATTTATTTTGGCTAAAGCAAAAAGGTTTCATTCCAAGGACTGTACCCGGGACCACAAACACATTAGATTTATTTGAGAAGAAAAATCGACGATCAAACTATCGAACCAAAGTTTTAAAAAATTGAATAACGTTTTATATTTGTTAGTGGCGAATTTTCTTATGATTTTTATTTTCGTTTAAATTTAAAACGATGTGTGGGTTTGCTATAAATTATTTTGTTTAGGTATTATTTTACCAATTATATTTAAATTACGAAATTATTTAATATACTATTAGACATCTTATGTATAAATACACAGTTTAATGTTTATACTCTCTTTAAACTCTGATAAATATAACCACTTTTGTTAAAGACGAAAAAAACGACGTTACAAGAAACGCAAGTCTTGTTTGACCATTATCGCAAAATATAAATAATAGTAAATCTCTTTTCATCTCAATTTAGTAATCATTTATTAGCAACTGCACTATCAGTAATGTCCGATTGAAGCTTCAGTTCAGCTTCGGCCATTTTCGGCGAAAAGAAACACCACCTTGGGCAAACTTTTGGCTTCAGTCAAAACTTCGTAACGAACTGTGTTACGAATGAGCGAGAGCGCGATGGTTATGGCGACGCAATTTTTGTCATCTCTAGATAAACTTCTAGAGATGTTTAAAATTACCTTTTTTATATTATACAGTCAAAATAAAATCTTCATTTAAAAGAAAACTAAAATAATTTATATTATTAATTTTAGCCAATCTTGAACTGAATTTCTTAGGGTTTTTAAGTCTTCGGCCTAAAATAGCCCTTCGGCCCGACACTAATTATCAAATTCATTTTTAAGTAATAAAGCGATAAACAATCTTATTCGGAAGCAATAAGGTTATGGTGAATATGCTAGTAGGGTGTCCATGTGAGATACGCGACTTGACACACTTGTGAATTGGTAGTAAAAGCTGCCTTTATCAATAATTATAATTGTAATTGATAAACATACTAGATAGGATAATTTTTAAATACTAAATTAGTACATGATGCACGTTAGTGCACCTTAAAGTTACAATCTGTTGTGTTATGTTGTATTAATTTTTTAGTGATTATCGGTTCTGGTGCACGGATTTAATAAACTGTCGTTATTTGATTAAGGCTAGAACTACATTTAGACCCACCTACACAAAGTCCAAATTAAGCTCACATAACGTAATTACTGAACTACCAGCAGGTAGTGTCATATCAAAAGATCAAGAAATATATCAATTTGTAAGAGTAGTCCCATATCGTAAGGTCAATATGAATTCAGATGTAGTTATAGTCTTAATAGTTATCATTTTATAAAATGGCAATATTACTGTAAACATAGAGCCTTAAGGTGACACTAGTCGACATTATTTCCATAGAAATTTCGGAGGGGTTTTACTCCGCTGTTTGACAGTGTACATCCAAAATTAAACATGATATCGTTTTGTCTCATTATTAAATTTGTCTGTACGGAAACAGAATAGTAAAATAAAATGTTATTAAAAAGTTACGAGCTACCAAAGATTCGTTTTTATTGCCAATTTTAACACAACTTTGGGCGTAAATTAGTAATAAAAGAAGTGTAAA